GGTGAAAGGAAAGGGGATGGTAAAACTAGGGAATACTAAGACCTTATATTATGTTTTGATGATCAAGAGGCAAGGCTATCTGTGGATGAAAGTTACAGAAAGAATTCCTTGTTCTTTGGGAGGCCAAAGTGGGAGTATCGCTTGAGGTCAGGCATTTAAGACCAACTTGGGCAGCATAGTGAGATTCCATCTCTACAAAAAATAAATAAATAAAAATTAGCCAGGTGTGGTGGTTCATTCCTGTAGTCCCTGCTACTTGAGAGTCTGAGGCGGGACGATAGTTTGGGCCCAGGAGTTCAAGGTTGCCATAAGCTATGATTGTGCCACTGCACAAAGTGAGACCCTGTCTCAAAAAAAAAAAAAAAAAAAAAGAGGATTTCTGGTTTAGAGTTGGCCAACAAGAAAATCTGCCACCCTCTTTAGTAGCCAGTGACCCACCACCAAGAGAGTTCAATGAGACGTGGGGTGTGGAGTGGGAGACTCGCATCAGCTAGGAAAGCAGAATGAATCCACTTTAAGACCCACTCCAACCCTGTGAGTTGATGACTAATCTACTATAAAGTATAGACGGTCTCCTTCCTTTTCTGAGGGAGGCAGTTATGAACCCGACACCAAACATCATGGAGAAGCACAGTGAACCACATCAGTGATGGAAATAATGGAAATGATTTGGCCATCTTCTTCAATTTCTCCTCCCAAACTGGGTGGGAAGCTAAGAGCCACATTCCAGGTTTCTATCCTAAAACTTTCCTCTTCCTTCCCCCGCATTCCCAGAGCAAAGAGGTTTCTTTGTCTTGAAAGCCAGTGTATAATCACCTAACATCAAAACTCTTTGGATGATGATCTACCCTATTCTTTTATCAGCAAAATGGAATTGCACCACCCCATGCAGTATTGGGCTGCACAGCTTAATGGTGCAGGACTCTTTATTAGGACCAATCCCATGTTCCTCGTGTGCTTATTCCCATATGTGGTATTACACAGTATTGTGCAGGTGGTGATATGAATAAACAGCTGTCCTACAGCATCAATTTCACTTTAACACTATGGGGAATAAGCCAGGCAAGGTGGCACATACCCTTAACCCCAGCTACTGGGAAAGTTCAGGTGGGAGGATTGCTAGAGCACAGGAGTTCAAGGCCAGCCTGGACAACATAGCAAGACTCTGTTTCTAAAGAAAAAAAGATCTGGGGGAATAAATATGTATCTGTTTGTATCAATCTGTTCAATTTAAGTAAAACAGAGAAGGACAGAAGAGAATGCAAAATCCACATAAATTTTTAAGATTAAATACAAAATTTTAAAGCAAGTACTTGCTTGCATTGGGTTATCTGTGGCTATATGGACAAATTCTTGAAGGAAAACATTGATTTTTCCCCACAACAGAGTACTTTGGTAGAAAAGTTTAATAAGTAAAGATTTACTACATGATGTGCAGACAGAAGTTCTTTACTTTTCTTTTTGGTTTTCTTAAATGGAAGCCCGGAGATGAATCCAGAAAGAACGGTGTTGGGCCTTGCTCAAAATCAGCTATAAGAATGGTTCCAAGTGGTTCTAAAGCATACTTTAGAAACTCTAAGCAGGAGAGTAGTTATGAAAACCTACCTACCCACTACATAAGTATGACTTGGGAACGGGACAGGGTACCAAAGGCAAGCCTTCGCTGGAAGAGCTGAGTGTTATGGTAGGAATGAGCCCACCAAAATTCATGTTGAAATTTAATTACTTCGTTGCTAATGTAACAGTACTGGGAAGCAGAACCTTTAAGAGGTGATTAGGTCATAAATGGATTCTCACTGTTAGCCTGGGAGTAGGTTAATTACCTCAGGAGTTCACTTTTTCTTTGTCTTTCATGGCTTGCTTTCGCCTTCCACCCTTCCACAATGGGTGATTCTCGCCAGATGCCAGAGCCATGTTCCTGGACTTTCCAGGCTCCAGAACCATAAACCAAATAAATTACCCTTGTTCCTTGTAAATTACCCAGGCTGTGATAGACTGCTCTGGCAGCAGAAAACAGACTAGGGCAGTGGGCAAGCAGCTCTGTGTATAACTGGAAAAATGTGGTAAAACATCCTTCTTTACCACACTGATACAGTGGCTGAATTTTCATGCACTGTCACGAGCATTTCTATGTGCTTTCTCATAAAGTCATGCACCACATAACTATGTTTTAGTCAACAATGGACTGCATCCATCCTGGCTAACATGGTGAAACCCCGTCTCTACTAAAAATACAAAAAACTAGCCGGGCGAGGTGGCGGGCGCCTGTAGTCCCAGCTACTCGGGAGGCTGAGGCAGGAGAATGGTGTAAACCCGGGAAGCGGAGCTTGCAGTGAGCTGAGATCCAGCCACTGCACTCCAGCCTGGGCGACAGAGCGAGACTCCGTCTCAAAAAAAAAAAAAAAAAAAAAAAAAAAAAAAAAAAAAAAAACAAAACAATGGACTGCATATATAACAGCGATCCCCTACGATTATAATAAAGCTGAAAAATTCCTATTGCTGAGTGATGGCACAGTTTTCTAACATCATAGCACAATGCATTACTCATGTGTTTGTGGTGACACTGGTGTAAACAAACTTATTACGCTGCCAGCTGTATATAGGTATGGTACATACAATTATGTACAGTGCACAATGCTTGATAAGGACAATAAATGTTACTCATTTATGTATTTACTATACTTTTTAATCCTCATTTTAGAGTATACTCTTTCCACTTAAAAAAAAAAAAAGTTAACTGAGATAGGTCCTTCAGGAGGTGTCCAGAAGAAGGCATTGTTATCATAGGAGATGGCAGTTCCATACACATTACCGCCCCTTAAGACCTTTCAGTGAGACAAGATGTGGAGGTAGAAAGCAGTGATATTGACGATCCTAACCCTGTGTGGGGCTAGGCTGATGTGTGTGTCTCTTAGTTTTTAACAAAGGTTAAGGAGCAAAACAATTTTTTAAATTTAAAAATAGAAAAAAAATCCGACAGACTAAGGATATCAAGAATTTTTGTATAGCTGTACAATGTGTTTGTGTTTTAAGCTAAGTGTTATTTCAAAAGATTCAAAAAGTTAAAAAAAAAAGTTTAAAGTTTATAAAGCAAAAAAGTTACAGCAAGCTAAGGTTAATTTATTATTGAAGAAAAATGTTTAAATAAATCTAGTAGAGCCTAAGTGTATAGTGTTTATAAAGTCTACAGTAGTGTACAGTGATGTCCTGGGCCTTCACATTCCCTCCCCACTCACTCACTGACTTGCCCAGAACAACTTCCAGTCCTGCAAGCTCCATTCATGGTAAGTGCCCCATACAGGTGTACCACTTTTTATCTTTGATACCATATATTTTATACTGTATTTTTACTGTGCCTTTTCTATTTTTCGATAGAAATACTTATTATTGTGTTACAATTGCCTATTCAGTACAGTAGCATGCTGCATAGGTCTGTAGCCTAGCAGCAACAGGCTATCTCACACAGCCTACGTGTGTAGTAGGCTATAGCATCTAGGTTTGCGTAAGTGCACTCTGCAGTGTTTACACAACTACATCACCTAACAATGCAGTTCTCTCAGAACGTATACCCATCGTTAATGGACACATGACTGTACTTATCCTTAGAAGCAGGTACTACTGTCTCTAACTTATATGAGTGAGAAAACTGAGGATCAAGGGTATGAAAGTAGCTCAAGCCAACTACCTTACAGGTGACACAACTTGTGTCAAATTCAGGCCTGACTCCAAAGTCCTATCATTGTTTTCTACCATATCGTGACTTTTTGTTAATAACATTCTGCCTCCTCTTCCTAATTTGCCTTTTGTTTTCCCTATTTAAACTAACTCTTTTCTTATTACAGTAATTACTGGATTGCTTACCATCCACCTAAAGTTCAATTTGAGGCTTTAATTTCCTATTACAATTGAAGACACTGGGGTTAAGGTGTCAAATGTGTGGCTGCTTTGTTCTCACAGATTCTACTGTGCTGGGATTACTTAACAGCTATTAGGGTGTAATCGATGCTTCAGCTTTCCGTAGGAGGGTCTGACATAAGAGCATCCATGTATCCATCAAATCAAGCTAAGCTCTAGCATTCATAGTCCTCTTACCTTACCAGGTACAATTTTCTGGTCACAGCTGGAACTCTGCTTATTTGTGTCTACTGAGGCAAAGTTAATAGCTGCCAAAAGACTAGCCTAAATCTTCCTTGCAGTAAGACCAAAAGGGGCCTTAACTGTTCATATTACATTTAGATAGACAAGACACTCACCCTGTCAATCTGTCCTGGGTAGAATAAAATGGAAAACAAGTGATCTAAATTCATTTTTATTTCCAACGTCTCAGGATACAGACATAGAGCTATCTTATTCCAAGAAGCACTATATCCCTACAACACCTTTTTCCAGTTTAAGAAAAACAAACAAACAAAAAACATTGATTCATCTCTTCTGAATCTACCAATTTCTAAAATAAACTGTCCATTTTGCTCTTTCACTCCACACCAATAGCTTCACCTTACATCTGACTTCTTTTCATGAAACATCATTATAATTTCTTCAGTGTTTTCTCTGATGACTGGATTATTCACTCCACACCCCTCATACCTCCTATTTATAATTTTGTAGCCCCGTCGAAGTCAGTTTCACTGCTCATTCCTGATAGGCTCTGAGCCAATATATTGCCAATAACACTCACTCTTGTGCTAAGTTAAAATACACAGTGCAACTTTGCCAAGTTTCCTTATTTGGCAAGAAGGCCCCTTAGTTCCCAAGATCTTTGACCATCCATTTTTAGATCCAAGTCCGCATGTTTAATATTTGGATATTTTTCTCTCTTTCCCTCTCTTTACTGTGTCCTTATATATTCCCTAAAAGAATAAGAAAAACAGATCAATCATTTATTTGCTTTTTTAGACAAGAAAGTCCTTGCAATTGCATCATGGTCATTTACTCTGGAATTATTATCACTAAATTTTTTTATTTAAACAACAATATTTTGCAGTTAAAAAACTCCCCCAAATAATCTCAAAAAGTTATAGGAATTAAATTGTGAAAGATTAAAATAAACATTGCAGGGGTCCAAAAGACTATTTTTATCTTAATTCTCTATTCCCAAACTAAATTCGTATTCATTTACAGTCTCCTAAATCTCTCACTATAGTAGCAGGAATTTAAAACAAAGACTCTACAAATGACCATAAACATAATTAAAATGCAGCCATCACTTTTTTTTTTTTTTTTTTTTGAAAATTGAAAAACAAGTGAAATTTCACTGTGGAGAGAGGCCTACTACAAGGAGGACATTAGCCTTGAATCACTTGTTTATTTTTGTCTTTAAACGTGTTTGGAGGTTTGGATCCACTAAATCCTAGCTGTTAATTTCAAGGAAGGTCAGGGAAACAAGAAGTCTCTCCTAAAACAGCTTTGGGGTTAAAGTAGGTACTGTTTTCAACAATCTTAATTCAAATATCCTCAAATTCACTCTGTAAGACGATTCTCACACACCATTATTAATGAGCTGCTTACTGTACTATACTTGGAATGGGCCCCTAAATTGTGTTGCTTTCATTATTACAGAAACTAACAAAAATAGTAATTAAGTTCCCCATAAACAGTGCTTATGCGCGATCTCAAAGCGCATCAGAAACATTAACATTTTCGGCGATCTAACAGAGATAATCTTTTTAAAAATTTTTTTTAGGCAATCGGATGTTATCTAGCCAGTCCTGAATTAAAGTTTTCTGAAAGCTGTCATGGGCAAGCGAGGCCAGGCGAGGCGGCGGCCTGGGTAAGTACTTCTGGGCCTGGTGCAGGTCTGGGAGCCCACAAAAAGACGGCTGCCTGAGGGTCGCCAAAGGGGACAACCCGGGCTCCGGTGGGAGGAAAGGGGGAAGCCCGAGAGGGCGGGCGCGCCACGCTGCCCAAGCCCGGCGAAGGAAGGGCGGGGAGCGGCGGCTCTGGGTGGCTCTGGATACATTTACGCATGTTTGTAAAACTAATCTTTAGTGTTCATTGTTCCTGCTGGTTATTCGCATGGCCTAATTACGTGAGGAAAACAGAATGAAAGAAAATGGATGGAAAGCAACACCGCTAGCGGCCGAGTTCTTAGAAAAGCAGAAGTTCGTCGTCCCTCCTCGCACGCACAGCGAGTGCTGGGAAGTGGCCTGCATCCTGCCCTGATTTGGGGGCCTCGCGGTTCCCCTCCCGACAGTGCCCCAACCACCCGCTGCTTGGCCGGCTCTCCTGTTTGCAGAGCCCCTGCCCGTGCCGCACGCCCAGGGCCGCGGAATCCCGAGCCGCTCCGGCCTGCGCCCCGCGCCTCCAGGCACCAACTTCTCCGTGGGACTGGCCCGAACTTTCCCGAACCGCACTTGGCGGCGCCGCGGCCGAGGTCCCGCGAGGACTCCTCCGGCGCGGCGAATGCTCGCTCCGGCCGCCGCCGCCGCCGCGCGGGTCCTGGGTCAGGGAGAGGAGCCCCAAGTAGCATCCAGAGGCCGCCTGGACTCCCGGGCCCCGGCGGAACCTCGGCCCCAAGACGCGAGGACGACTCGCGAGCGCGGCGGGCCTCGCCCCCTCCCTCCCCGCCCTCCGCGGGCTCCAGCCTGGACCCTACCTGGCTCCCAGGCCGGGCGCGAGCAGCAGCCGGGGGCGCGGAGGCCCCGCGCGCGACGAGGGCGACGGGGGTTGGAACGACAGCGGCCCGCGCGGCTCCCACGCTTCCGCCGGAGTCAGGAGTTGAACATTCCGCCTCTCTGCCCGGCGCCAATGAGGAAGACAGTCACGGCAACAGCACCACCTACCTCCCGGCGCGGAACGGCCGGGCAGCCCTCCCCTCACACGCGCGGGCGAGCGGGGCGTGGGGAAGGCGCTTGGGCCTCCCTGGCCTGCGCCCGGGGGCACCATCCGCCCCGCGCCCCGGCATCCGCCGAGGCCCCCAGGCACACCTGCCCTGCTGTCGGGGGAGAGCTGTGGGGGTGTTCCCCCTGGCCACCATCTTTTTGACGAGTTAACACCACCTGCTACTCCTTCAACTCAGTCTTCAACAAACAGGCGCGGGGGACGCAAAGAAATAGAGGCTGTTTTGTGCCCTGCAAGAGTTAATTCTCTAGTTGGGAAAGGGACAAACGTAGAGATTTCTGGGAACACAGGTCTGAAGGCTGCCTCCCTAGAAAGATCAGTAGGTACCTCTGGAATTTTGAGGAGGGGCCGTGGTCCGCTGCTGTAGTTGGTAACTTTAACAGAGCAGAGTTCAGATGAGGAACCAGAGTCCATTACAGGCCTAAGCCAAAGGTAGAGGTGGGCGTTGGGAAGAAAAGAAATTTCTGATTGGGGAGGATGGTTTTGTGAAGGAAAAGTGCGAGGAGGTGGCAAGGCATAGGCAACATTATCCAGGAGTTTGGATTTGAATTTTATTATCCATGGACACCGGGGAGCAGTGAAAAATTAGAATCAAAGGGGTGAAATGGGTGTTTGTGTTTTTGTTTAAACTGTAATTTTGAGAGAGTAGCCCACAGTAGTTGTAGGTTGGGTTGCTAGGATGGGACCAGGATGAGTGGTAGATATTGTCACCACCCGGTTGTGGGATCATGAGGACCTGAGTTAGGGTGTAGGAAATGGAATTAAAAAAAAGAAATGGGCTAGGTGTGGTGCTTGTAATCCCAGCACTTTGGGAGATCAAGCTGAGGGGATCACTTGAGACCTGACTGGGTAACATAGTGAGACCTCATCTCTAAAAAAATCAAAAACTTAGCCCGGTGTGGTGCCACGCATCTATAGTCCCAGCTACTTGGGAGGCTGAGGTGGGAGAATCGCTTGAGCTGGGGAAGTCGAGTCTGAAGTGAAACACAATCGCATCACTGCACTCCAGCCTGGATGAGAGCGAGACTCTGTCTTTAAAAAAAAAAAAAAAAACAAGAAGAAATGGAATTGAGAGAAATATTAAATATTTCAGCAAGAGGGCACAGAAATTGGTAACCCACAAGATTTAGAAGAGAAGCGGCAAGATTTAGAAGAGAAGAAGAGGAGAGATGATGCCAAGATTTCAGACCTGGATGACTGGAAGAATGATGGTGTCATTGACAGAAATAGGAATACGTGAAAGGGAAGCTGGCTTCATGTTGAGTTTGAGGTCATAGAAGTAAAAACAGGTAGAGATGCAGCAACTGAAATATGAAACTGAAATTCAGAAAAGAGGTCAAGAGTGAAATAGAAAATTTGTAAGTCATTCAATAGGTTAAAGATACGAAAACGGAGAGATGGGTGAATAGAGGTTAAAAAGCAATTTATTAGTCTGGTATTCAAATTAATTTGCCCTTTGATAAGGACTGGAGATTTTAGCATTAATAAATTGTATTTTGATAACTGAGAAATTAGAATTGATGAAAATTGCCGGCCGGGCGCGGTGGCTCAAGCCTGTAATCCCAGCACTTTGGGAGGCCGAGGCGGGTGGATCACGAGGTCAGGAGATCGAGACTATCCTGGCTAACATGGTGAAACCCCGTCTCTACTAAAAATACAAAAAAAAAACTAGCCGGGCGTGGTGGCGGGCGCCTGTAGTCTCAGCTACTCGGGAGGCTGAGGCGGGAGAATGGCGTGAACCCGGGAGGCGGAGCTTGCAGTGAGCCGAGATCACGCCACTGCACTCCAGCCTGGGAGACACAGCGAGACTCCGTCTCAAAAAAAAAAAAAAAAAAGAAAATTGCCATGCTAAAAAAATTTGTAATGCAGGTCTAATAAAATAATTCAAATAATTCCATCCTATCCATTCAAGGAAAAACTAAGGCTCTTTAGCATAGACCCCAGGCGTAGGAAGACTCCAGTCATTTTACCTTACCTTCAGAAGCACTTGTTTGTGATGGAAAGGACACTAGACTGAGAGTCAGAGAACCTGACTTCTGATTTTAGAGCCACTGGTTATCAGCTAGAGTGCTTTGCAGGAAAGGCCACAGTTTCCTCCTCTACAAAATAAGAGGGACTAATTAGAAGTTAGTTACAGGTCCCAGCTTTAAAACCATGAATGTATTGCTTTAAATTTGGAGCACATGGCTTAAGAGCATTAATATTTTTAGCCACATTGCCCTTGCTTCCCATCCCTTTTCCTTCATTCTGTTTTCCTCACATAATTAGGCCAAGAGAATAACCAGCAGGAACAAGAAACACTAAAGATTAGTCTCAGAAGTATGCTTAAATGATAATCTAGTAGACATTTACTTGTCTTCCCAAATAGGTTGCAAGCCCTTTGAGGTCACATCTTCTATTCTGTGGTATCGGCATATGTATTGTCCATAGCTGAAATAAATATATAATGATTGCATGATAAACTGATTGCCTCAAGTTTGGTTTTTCTTTTGTCAAGCTGCCTATTTCCTGTTGATTATACTGATCTTTTAGGGCCCCAGACCTAATAAATATAGTCTAGTATGTGTTCTCAACACTGACTGCTTTTTTGAACTTCAAATCTTTTTTGAATTGGTTAATGCTTACCAGGCAGAGTTGAGGTTTACCTGTGTGAAAAGCAATAATAAAAGAGATCTAGTCAATCCTCTCTTATCAAACCTGTCTATTCGTTTACTTCAAATGTTTCCACACTAAAAATAGATGTACTCTTAGCAGTGGGGTGGCTTGGAAGTCCTTAGCACCCTCTTATATCCAAGAACATTCTCCAAAAGAAACATGCAATCTAAGTTGAAAAATACAAATATAGCTTAAGGAAAAACTTTCCTACCTCCCTATTCAATGAGACTGTTTCCTCTAAGCCCCTCTTCCAATAGATACTCTGAAACTGCCACCAGCTATCAGTGGATGAGAAAAGTGCAGACATAAATTCTATGAATGGCAGAAGGAATGGCAACTAAAAGGAAGAAAGCAGTCTTTATCCTCCCCTCTTACAGTGGTAAGAGTTATGGTGCAAGCTGGCACCCAGGGCATTTTCTCTAGCCGTGTTAGTTCTCCATCTTAAATTGTTTATAGTCTATGCCCAGATCACAGCTAAGAATTACCCAACTTTTATGCAAAGGCCAAGACTTTACCTCCTGTACAACTCTGAATCCCAGGGAAATAAGGTGTGTAATCGAACATCCTGTAAGTCATTTAACCATTACCTTAAACTTATAAATGAAGCCTAGATCATTGTTTGAGTTTAGTTTTTACATCTAACTTGAGGATCAAAGAGATTTACAAGAATATTCAGGATATCGAGTTTATTTAGGCACCCTGGGACATGAAAGGAGCAGTGTGGCAAGAAGATACATTGAAGACTTTTACAAGATGTATTCAACAAGCATTTACCGACTGCCAGGCACTGTGCTGAGCTTTATGATTATAGCAGTGAACAAGCATGGTCCCTTCTCTCACAGAGTTTTCAGAGTGTGATGGAAGAGCCAGCAAAGACATAAGCAATTACACTGTGGTATGCTCTTAAAGGGGCAAAGATTGGGGCTTCCAGCAGGGTACCTAGCAGAGTTTTGAGAGGTCAATGAAGGCTTCCAAGTCAAAGAAGCTCAAAGTTGATACAAGAAGAAATGACGAGGAGGAAAAGATATTCCAGGCAAAGGGAACAAGTGCAATGGCCTGAAAGCATTATCAAGTTCAAAGAATAAGTTCTTTATGTATCTGAGTAAAGACATCACCGGGAGGGAGTAATAGCCCTCATAGTAGTAGTAATAGTAATAGCAGAAGCAATAATAATAACAGATGGTTAATATTTACTGAATAGTCATACACCATGCACTGAATTAAGAGTTTTACACAGACTCTCCCCATTTAGTCTTCACAATAACCCTAGCAGGTAGTTTAAGTCATCATTCCATGCTATGGAGCCAGAAAAAGTCTTGGAAAGGTTGGGCAACTTGCCTTCCCTCAGGGAGCAAAAGGTGGACTTCAGGCCTGTTTTTTCAGATCAAGCAGTTCTCAAACTTTTTGGTCTCAGGACTCCATTACACTCTTAAAAAGTCACTGAGGATACCAAATAGCTTTTAAGTGAGTCATATCTATCAATATTTATTCTATTAGAAATTAAAGCTGGGCGTGGTGGCTCACGGTTGTAATCCCAGCACTTTGGGAAGCTGAGGCAGGTGGATCACAAGGTCAGGAGTTCGAGACCAGCCTGGCCAACATGGTGAAACCCCGTCTCTACTAAAAATACAAAAATTAGCTGGGCCTGGTGGCACGCGCCTGTAATCCCAGCTACTCTGAAGGCTGAGGCAGGAGAATTGCTTGAAGCGGGACCTGGGAGGCAGAGGTTGCAGTGAGCCGAGATGGCGCCACTGCACTCCAGCCTGTCTACAGAGCGAGACTCTGTCTCAAAAAAAAAAAAAGTTAAAAATAATTCACTTAAAAATAATAAGCCAATAAGCCTACCTATGTTAACATAAATAACATTTTAGTGAAAAATGACCATTGCCCCAAATTTTAAAAAACTAAAAGAATGCCATTGTTTTACATTTTTGCAAATCTCTTTAATGTTTGGCTTAGTAGACAACAGTTGGATTCTCATATCTGCTTCTGAATTTATTCCGATATCATACTACGTGTATCCTCTGGGAAATTCCACTGTATACTCATGAGAGAGTGTCAATATTTTTATGAAGAGTTCTGACCTCGCAAATCCCCCAAAGGGTTCCCAGACATTTTGAGAACTGTTATTTTAGAGCCTGAAGGGAGTTGGTTGCCGTGTTCTCTGCTTCAAGATGCAGCATAAGAGGGCAGCTGCATCAAGCAGGGAAGACAGCACTTTGCTAAATGTTAGAAAATCTGGGATGTGGTGCCAGCCCAGTCCTTAAACGACTGTCCCTTCCTTGGGACCATACTGCCTGATAGTCATGTGGGATAATAAAGTCCTACATATCTGAGTCTTGAGTCCAGTCACTGCTCACTCTTTACTGTTGTTTGCCATGCTACTTTTCTTTAAAATACTAGATCTAAACTTTGACTGAATCATAACTTGAGTTTTTCACATCCATTCAGCACTGAGCCTTACTTTCTTTTTTTTTTTTTTTGAGACTGAGTTGCCCAGGCTGAAGTTCTGTGGCACGATCTTGGCTCACTGCAACCTCTGCCTCCCATGTTCAAGTGATTATCCCGCCTCGGCCTCCTGAGTAGTTGGGATTACAGGTGTACGCCACCATGCTGGGCTAATTTTTGTATTTTTAGTAGATACAGGGCTTCACCATGTTGGTCAGTCTGGTCTCAAACTCCTGACCTCATGATCCGCCTGCCTCAGCCTCCTAAAGTGCTGGGATTACAGGTGTGCGCCACCACGCCTGGCTGAGTCTTGCTGTTCTTTCTACTCAACCTTAACTCTACTTTATTGCAAGAAATTCATATACCTCTTCCCAAAGACATAACAACTGATATAATTTTCTGGCAGAATCCTGGAGTTATTTATTATTAAGTGGTATTATTAAGTGAAGGGCTGGTAATGACTTTGGATATGAACACTGGGATTCACTGAATCCCAGCATGGGTTCACTGAAATCAAGATGTTTCTAGTTTTTGCAACTGGTATCATAGGAGGTCAGTGTGGATCTGATTTCAGTGAAACATTTGACAGTGTTTCTCAGGATGGCTTTAGAAATCAGAGGGAAATTTTAACTGATGACAACACAATACACTGTTAGATTGAAAACTGAGCCACAAATGCTGATGAATGGATCAGTGCCCTGGTGGAGCAGGGTTTAAATGGTA